TCAAAAATACTCCAATGGAGTATAAAATTGTCACCAGGATTCCGAAATGAGACGAATGTTAACTCGTTAAATCTCGGTAGATAAAGTAGGTCAGAAAATCCGGATTAATCCGAACTGATTCGGGAATCTTCGTCATAAGAAGTAGATCAAAAATCCAGAGAAGTAGATCAAAAATACTCCAATGGAGTATAAAATTGTCACCAGGATTCCGAAATGAGCCGAATGTAAACTCGTTAAATCTCGGTAGATGAAGTAGGTCAGAAAATCCGGATTAATCCGAACAAGGTTCGGGAATCTTCGTAATAAGAAGTAGATTAAAAATACTCCCAATGGAGTATAAAATTGTCCCCAATATTCCGAAATACGACGAATCGAATCGGCAAACTTCGGTAAAATAATGAAGTGCATAAAAACCGAAATGATCCGATGAACGTTCGGATAAAATCGTGAACAGGTGTCAGGGGTTTCCCCTCATCTTTCCCCACATTGTTCTAAAAGCCTTATATGGATTTATCACGTAACATTCAAAATGACGTTCCTATATGGTTCTATGGGTTCGAACACGTGACCAAATATACCAAATAAAAATTTTACCTTGACCACTGGATGGGATTTCATAGAAAATATCCAAGAAAACCTATCCTCGTGATCCTTAAATCACTTAAATTCGATCATTTTATTTTCACCCCTTGATGGAATTTTATGAAAGAAGTCATGAAAACACATCATCATGTAAGGGTTTTCACCTAAATTAGCTCGTTTTATCTTGAGCCTTCAATTGAATTTCTTGAAGAAATATTTTATGAAAAAATATCATCATGTTATGATTTGTATTTAAATAAGACCGTTTCATCTAAATACTTGGATAATATTTCATAAAAAATGCACTTTAAAATTTTTCAGAATTTGCCTTAATTTATCAATGTAATGAAAGTATAAGATTAACTCTCAAATAGCGTTCTATTTTAACCTTTTTATTGAAATCAATACAGGACTCGCTCTCTAAATATCCAATAAAAATTCAACCCTTGGATGTGATTTCGTTGGAAAAAAAATATGTCAAGTCCAGAATCAAATGATTTGTCCAGAACCTCTTAAGATCCTGTTAGGAGTAACACTCTAAGATACATAAACAAAAATCGAGCCTCGCAACAGTTAGCAGCATCAAACATACCACGGTTGCAATGCTAAATTTCATGCTCCTAGTATTAAATGTTCCAATTTGATATTTTTGTATTTTACTATTTCTAGTCAGCTTTTCTATGAGTGTGTTGTGTAGTACTCAACTGCTCTCTATTCTGAGGTGTAGTGTTTGACTTATCTCCATAAAGACTTACCAAGGTGTAATAAATTTTCATGCAGTTTTCAAGATGACAACTCAAAGGGGTGGAAATCAAATATTTATTGTTATCAACTCAAATAAATGATGGTACCAACAGCTGTATACTTTTAGAAATGACGGTTGAATATAGAAATGGACCAAACTTTGACATGATGAAACTGTTGCTTGTATGATGAACAACATTCACAGTGTATCTGTTTAGAAGTATTTCACTATAATGTTCACAGTATATACAGTTCTAATGGCGCACAAATTACAACAAATATCAAATAGGACACTTCATACAGGGACTAGACTTTTTTCAAATAAACACTCAAAATGTTAACATTATAACCAGATCATATACAGCTGTTATGATGTTATTAAGATTAATCGTTTTGTAACAAATAAATATCTTTACAATTCAACTTTATAGCACTCATTTCATATTTCATAGACGTATGCAAAGTATGTCGTTCTTTACAAGAGAAGTTCAAACAATCAACTTGAAAGGGTAGTTTGGCTGGTTTATCGTTTGTTCTGGTAAGTTAAAGAATGGCAAACGGTCAAATAATCCAGACAATGTATGTACAGTCACAGACTATTTATGAAGAATTAATGAGCAGAGTATGTTGTTGCTGATCGATTAGGTCATGACCTTCTGCTTTACTTGGCAGAGTATATTGTTCTTTACAGGCAGTTCAAACACATTTTATGGGGTTATTGTTAAATGAATTTCTCTATGTGATATTAACAGTCGAATGCCCTTGAACATTGTCAAAACACAGACAGTCCATATATGTCGCAGACTTTACAATTCAATTGAACTTATTTGGTTAACATATTATCGGAATGGCCATTAATAATATCTATACTGGGGCAAAGTAGCCTTTTTACTAAGCAGAGTATATCGTTCTTTACAAGAGAAGTTCAAACAATAGAATCTATTGTTTACTTGAAAGGGATTGTTTGGCTGATTTATTATTTACTTTCGAAGAAGGGCTTTGATTGGATTGTTTAGATGTATGTATAGGTAGACCTTAATTTGAAGTGTAGTATGTGAAGATGTCATTGGGTTATTTAGAGAATTGATAAAAAGAGGGGCAAAATAACACAACCAATGTACGTACATCTAGAGAAATTTATTAAAATAGAAAAAATAGCTATATATGTACATTTGTTCACTGATATAGGCTCAAAGGCCATATAGTCCATGTATATCGTCGTTATTAAAGTATTGACAGGTCATACAATTCAATATCCCCTCTTGATTAGAGTGGTCAAGCGGAAAATAGGAAAGGCAATTGCGTTCCTCTAACGGCAGCTGAGGAATTAACAGTCGTAACTTAAACGTTTACTAACTGTACATAGTGTATACTTTGTTCACCTGGAAAAAAAACATATTAATATTAATTCAAATGTTTTTTGGAAAACCTGCAATAAATATTTTTAATTATAATTCTTACATATTTACATCTGAGCTGTATACAAGTCACTATATTACGTTTTTAAGAATCTTGTTCTAGGCCACACATAACAAATGCGGGTGGCCTTGGGTCTTGGGTATATTACACCGTCTACCATCCAACCGGCAGCTACCCGTTGGGTGGGGTAAAATTGAGGTTCCCAATCCTCTAACCTATAAACAATATTTGTTGATATTGATACAACTTAATTGTCATTTAATCAGTAAATGGCATTTTATCAGTTTCAAAAACAGTTTACATAAACATGTTTCGATTGTTAAAGCTACTGGTCTAGCTGTACATTAATGAAAAAGTTGAGGTAATTGTATGACAACATTTTAAGATATATGTAATTATTAAGCATTTTGTATACTCTCGTAATTATTTCTAAAATACTTACTCTTTATTATTATAGATCAACTGGTTCATAAAATCCATTAAAATATATAGACTGATGAACATGATGAAATGTAAAAGTAAAATGTAAAATTAAAATGTGTTGCTGAATGTCTGTATCTAACGTTCCCTCTTGATGCCATTCTTCTATTGTAGGATTTACAATTTTTAGATCTCTCCAGAGTTTGGCTGTCATGTACATTCAAGCTGTGAACATTTCCCCCGACTGTGTTGAATCATGTTTTTTGTAAGACTCCGAAGTGTCCATCCTTTTTCCTTAATGCGAAGATCACGTCATTTCCCAAGTCAATCTCATGGTACAATTCGCTGAAGTTGCTGTTTGATGCCATTCTGTTTTGAGATATAATCTAGGATGCTCGATTAATCTGTGAATTGATTGATGATCAATGAGAGCTTTACTCTCATGAAGAAGTATTTTTGTGTGATCATTTGAACTTTTCTCACTAAGCAATGTTTGATAGTTTGGTATATATAGAAACATATATAAATAAATATTACATAAAATTAATACAACTCTTTTTTATTCATTTTAAGTAACTTACACTTATTTCTTCTAAAAAAATACTAAATAGGGTTTAAGTAGATATATATATATATCCATCCAGTGAACTTTGAACCCAGACCTTGGTAACAAACCTAAAGCTCCCCTTGAAATTTTCTTTAACTGATCAACAGGACAACAGTCTGGCATGTAAAGGAGAAAGCGAAATAGTCTAGTCTGCCGGAACAGTATGGCTTTCACATAAGTGATACAATAATGGCAATACGAATTGCCATTATTTCATACTTGAAATTATCTGCAACTTTACCCTTAAGATTCGTTCCAACCAACCTGTAAAGTGCCAAATTCACGTCTTGCCGCTCGTGTAAAATGAATGAGACCGTGAAATAAATAGTACATAGTTATGTAATACTGATCTCACTCACAATCTTTCGCGTACAGGTTCACAACAAGACGACAAAAACACCCGGTGCTATTGAATTTACACGTCAACGGGATTATAAAACAAGTCAGACGTGTCGAATGGAGCATAAAGTTACATGATTTGTTGCGCGCGCATCATGTTTCACGTACAGGTACAGGTACAGGTTACTATTTGGTGCAATCTTAAGGTCTCTAATGTTTGAGTTCTGAACTCTTTCAAGTTTATGACAATATTCATGGGAAACATTCTCCAACCCTGGAGTTGTTTTGGGCATGTGCTGTATAAAGGCTTTGATAAACTTAGACTTTAAACAGATAACATGTTGGCTACTCAAATCTACAATGGAACATTATCAAAAATTCAATTTCAGCCATATTCAATAATAAGATGTTATTGAATTCCCGATAAAATATTTGAATTAAAGATAGTATTATAATCAATATTTTTTCCACCCATCAATGGAAGAAAAATTGGAATTTTGATTCTCATTGCCAGCCTAAGATTCATCCCCAGAGCATTGCCAGCCTAAGATTCATCCCCAGAGGGATGAAATGTGTCTTGAACGATAGACAAAACAATCTTCTTCGGATGGATTTTTCCATCCGTGAAAAATTTGCTAAATTCTTCCGTATGTCCATCTGCTCTTGTTCTTCTTACGCACACGTAACTGCTACCGAGACGGCCAGTTTTGATTAAGGCTTCTCCTAATGTGTATGTTGGTGTTGATTTTGATGATAAAGCCATGTTGATGATCATGGAGCACTACGTAGATCTGAGTCCTGTACTCAAAGTAGACATGAAACCATATCAAAGGTGGAGCCCCATCTGGTAACATAGTCATTGATACGATGCTTAGTAGGGACCTCGTCAAGGATCTGCCTTTGAGTAAGCGCCTCTGTGGTAATCACTGACTTCTTAAAAAACATAACCAGACTACAGCATTGCCCAAGCATATTGGCTACAACTCTGTCATCAAGGATCGTTTTTACAACTAACTGTAGAAGATGGTAGCTGCAGCCGATGTGAGAAACTTGTAATCTGGGTTGAGTTGCTTACAAAAGCTTTTGAATCCCTTCCCATCTATGATTGCTAGGGGTCCCAAATTCAGAGCGCACATCTGTGCAAGTGATTTATTGATATTCTCATAATGAGCCTTGCCAAGGATGGCCTTCGAACGCCATTATAGAGTTGAATGTTTCAAGCTTAGGCCTACTGCAGCTCCAGCCTGTCCTGGTTTTGTTACTGTTAGACTTTTTTGTGCACACCTGTTACATGTAATATAGAGATAGCTAAATCCTCTCCTTTTCATATTGTACCTGAAAACAGAGTTGTTTTTTACTCGAAATCCACGTTTAACTGAAGGTTCGTTGATTTGGTCTTTCAAAGCAGTTTGAAAGCTTTGAAGCGGGTTAACAAGTGAATGTTTATTTAGACCCTTTCTTGATCCTTTATCCGGTATATTTGGTGATTCAGAATCAGTCACAATGTACATTTTTGAACAAAGGCAAATCATAGATGTGCCCTCTTTCTCGATCTTCATGAGGCCGCTAGATCTTTGATCAAACATTTTGTGTTTTTTACAACAGGTTCGTGGAAACCATTCGGGTTTTATGTAATCTGAACATTGGTTATTTAACATATCTAAATACCGCTGTTTATGAGAAGGTTATATTGTGTCACTCAATATGCGCTCTGATATTGCTAAATATATATAGTCTGTGTCCATTTCCATTAATTGATATTTGTTATGATCAAGGTATTCATACAAGAAGTCATAAAAAAATCTGAGCATGTGTTCCTTGGCATGATTTAAGAAAGTGTAGCAGGGAGTACACAGGGAGGTTTAAGCTCATTCGATTTTTCGCAGTTTCCACTTCAAATATGGGGTCCTCACTGAGATGAAACGGGTCTTCTATAGTAGTTAGGTTTCTTAAAGTAGGTGAATTTATGACGCGTCGGATGTCTAGTTTGCTTTTACTGAAAAAACTGTCTTTAAATTTCTCTTCACACGTGAGGAGGCTCCATAGGCGCTATTTCCGATGAGCTTTGCAATGAGATTTAATAAATTCAGTCGGGATTAGAATCCCCTTGCCTGCGCATATCGGAAACATATTTAACCAAATCCACAAAACAAGTCATCCTGTCAAATTCGATGACCTGATGTATTTTATCAGTTTGGATACCACGTTTTATATACCAACGATATAGACTGGTTGTGATTAGGAGGTTTTTGGCTGGCCCACTAACATTGTCTTTGGTTTTTCCGAAAGATCGTAAGTTCTAATATAATCTTGCATATGTTTGCCTATATCCTCAAAAGTCACATTGGATGTGGGTGAAAAAGGGGTTGAAAGCTCTTTAAAGTATTCCCAAGGAGTGATATCTCTCCCAAATTGGTTACATACTTTAGCTTTCAAGTAGTCATTGGGCCAGCTATCCGGTACTTTGATATCAACTTGTACCATTTCAAAAAAGTGTCATCTAAAACAGCATCTGTGATGTTTTGAGGATCACTAATTTGTCTCGGAAAGGGTTTGTGAAAAGGCAAATGTTTTGACTTTTCAAATTCTGGTAAAGTTATATTTTGACCATAAGGAAGTGATCTGGGAATTTGCGTTTTTGAAACTAAATCCGCTCGAAATTCGCATTCATGTTTTATAATCATTTTGAAACCTTGACTTCTTATGAAACTATTGCATTTTTGAGTATTTTGTTTCCTCAGTTTAAATTGTTTTTTCGACTCATCAGTAGACTTGGCATTTTTCGTTAACCAACTATCATGACCATGAAAGTAACACCCATCAAACTGCAAAACAGTTTTAGTGTCCCCTGAAAAACCTTCTACTGGATAATTTCCTATTTTGACTTCAGTTCCCCCGTTAATCATTCTATGGAGGTAATGGTTCTGGTAAAAGGTTTTCCCATTCGAGATATGTGTACAACATTTCAAAACTTCGTTTTTATGACTTGAAAATTATTTTCCGCCTTTTGGACATTAAATCTGCATTCACAAGGAAAGTTTGGGTCATTTCTAATAGATCTAGATTCCCTTGGAAAGCTTTCCCATACCCCTAGCATATAGCTATAATTCTCATCTAAAGTGGCGGGTTCAGTGCCTAAACAACCATTATTTTTTGCTATTGTAAATGATCCTCTTCTAAAACATTGCATTGTTTCAGAAAGGAATAGAAATGTTCCTTTTGTGGCATTGTTTTGATAGAAAGTTGATCTGGAGATTTGAACCATTCATACATCCAAAACCCTTTATTGACCGGGATCTTAAAGTTTTTAGAAATTGTTTGTAAGAAGTGGCGGGTGGAAGAAAATGACTGATGTCTAGAAATTTGAAGCCATTTTTGGTTGTGATACATTGATATGAGTTGTTTTTTTAAGAAGAATTGTCGATTTTTTCTAGATTGAGAGCTTTTGGGAAGTACTGTTTCAATAGAGGAAGGTCGTGTCGACTTGAGTTAAATCCTATAATGACTAACTGTTTGAGGTTATCATGAAATTGTGTTTTAAAGAGAGGATTTTTCTAAGAGTCAGGTGGTGGCCCATGTAAGGCGTCTACATGAGAAATTTTATTTTGGTTCTTAATCACTTTATACACAAAGTATGGGCTGTTTGACATTGAAAAATGACAAAATAACTTATAACACTTTACTGGTAACCATGGCAACGGATCTTTGAAAATAAGCACTTTTAAGCAAAATTCAAGATCGATTTCAGTAAAAAATGCCTTAAAATTGCAGGATATTTGGTGTCATATAGTGGAAATTAATACTGTAATTCTGTATAAAAGATATGTTTTGTGTATAGGGACAACTAAAACCTATTAAGAGATAATGTTATAATTAGCGTTGATTGCGTAACTATGGAAATATGGTTTCCATAGCAACCAATGCCAAATACTATCCCAAAAATGGGTAAACTTTGAGAGGCTGTGTATAACAAGTTCAACAGCATTTCTAAATTAGGGAAACGTATTATGATGGCTCTGACACAGGTCTGTAACAATTAAGAATAAAATGTCTGGGTAAATTAATATATATTGTGTAACCAGACCCAATTAATAATGAGGAAATAGGGATAAAAAGGTATTTTTCCAATATTTCATACATTCTATGTTTTTCAGTCATACAGAACAGCTCTACTATACATAATTATTACTTATATTTTCTTTTATTTATGTTTTTCTGCTATAGTGATTAGTTGTACTTTTTTAATGTCTATATAGTGTACAATGGTAGTTGATGTCTTTTAAAATTGGGGGGGGGGGGGGGCATTACAACACATTACAGTCAATGACAATGATTATCATCATTTTAACTATCTTTTGGTTAATCTAAATTTTATCACATACAAGTAACTAAATATGATGTAAGTAAGTACAATGGACATGTACTTGATATTAGAAATTGTGGAATCCTTCATAATTTATACTAAGAATTAACATGGATCATGTTTCTATGGAAATACTGTTACCATAGTAACCAATATTATCTTCTCGAAGTGAAACCATATCAAAAATCAGAAAAGAATACTTTTTGCGAACTTTGTGATATAGCACAGTTTTAGAAAAAATATATGCGCATGCATTAATTAAGAATTGAAATAAACCGTGCTGTTATAGATATAGAGCTACATGCATGGTTAAACACTGTACTTATGAAGGGATCAATTATAAGAGAGACAAATTTTGAATATATAGAATGTGGTACTTCTCCAATATATTGGTCCACGATTATTCTGTAGGTTTACTATCATATATTAAAGTTCCAGCATAATTTTGACCTTCAAATAATAATGCATAATTTCTACCATTATATTTAATAGCCTTCAACGACCTTGTATGGTCATATGTGTACGTACCAGTAGCTTTTCTAATTTCAAACATCATTCATTTGATAGAGAGATTGGTGTCCAACGTTATCAGAGTAAACCACTGACATCGTCCTTAAAATTTTAGCTATATTTTGGACTATTTTTCATTGTTTAATGCATAAACGATATAACAAATAAGTACAAAGGTCATAACTGTGCTTATTCAATAAAAATATCCATTACAAGGTATAGTACATCACGTTTCCATGCAAATATTGTTGCCATAGCAACCAAGATCACAATTTGAAAATGACCTAGTACATTTTAAAAGGCATTAAATCATACAGTTTATTTAACTCTAATTGTAGGCAACCCTTTTTCATAACATAAAGTAGAAGGGGGATCAAGCGCCACTCTCTCTACCAATAGACCCTTTTCCATATAGCTTAGAAATCTCGTTAAAGTCTCATTTTAACGAGATTTTAGGAGGTCTGCATTTTTAACCATTAACCACTAACGTTTTATTCTATTTTATGTCATATTTGAATTCTGTGTGTAATTTTCTATCAAAACAACTTTGATTTGCACTGTTATTTACCTTTATTCAAATCTAGAGATTTTCAAGTTTTCTAAAAATGGTCGAGCTAAATCCCCATTGACACAATTTTGAAAAACCTTTAATAATTCATTTACTTTAAAGACCGGCCTGCAGTATAAAAGGGCTGTGGCAGTTGGGATTTTGCTCATTATGTCAATTTGAAATTCAAATGTTCAGAGAAATGTGTTGCTCCTCCAAACATTTACTGCTATTAGGATTTATATCTCAAAATTAAAAACCAATTCATCAACCAATCAGAAACAGCCAACTGATCACATGATGTAAATAAATACAAGCATTATGCTGGCACGTGTTTTGCCTAATTATGTTTGTTGTTGAAATTATATGCCATATAAAGACTGGCTCATTAACTGAAGCTCAGCTGATAGGATAATTTCAAGTCGGTCCAAGTAGCATATCTGATTTCATTTTAATGCTCTACCACCCGGCTCAGGATCCCAAACTTTAATAAGGATCACAACATAAGTTGCTATGTTATTTAGCCCTACCAACACCCATGATGCCATCTAGTTTTCCATTTATATGGAAAAGGGTCTATTGAAAACTGTCAATGGAATATTAGAATCGATGGTACCATTGGAAAGCTTGTTAAAAACTATTAACAGTTAGGCTATAATAAGTTTTGGCATCTTCAATATATATAAATACTGAACGAAAAATCAGGATTGCAATATACATGACTGTATAAGACAAGATACATCTCTGTGCTCTTTGACGAAACAGGGTTCGTTGTTGAATTCAATTTTAAGATTAAGTATAAATGAAAAATGTGTTTAAAAGATTTCATATTTTGGTTAAATCCCAATCTCGGATTAGATGAAAAATGGTGGGATGGCTCTCGCTGCAAAAAGTAAACTGAGAAAAAACACACATTGAATATTGAAATAATGAAGGCTCACAAAATAGCTTAAAATACAATACAATATTAGCAGTTGGATTTTTTTCTTATTTGCTTGAAAGATGTATATTGGTGAATAGTTTTATGTATTGTAGTGACTTCAGTATGAATGAAATGTCCCTTGGTGTTATGGTCCTGGACTGTGATATTGACTCTTTTTGGGGGAAGGGGGGGGGGTGTAAGACACAATTCACTTGTTCGTCTGTCCATCAGTCTGTCAACAATAATGGCACGACCTCTGTCTATAGGATCTTATTTAAAGTTATTTTGGTTCATCATTGCAATAGTTGTATTTTGTGGGTAAGCTTACAACACTTGCTGTCCAGTGTTAGACCCAGACAGTTATATAATCAGTACAGGTCATTAAGTTCATGGAAGGCCAGGATACTACATCCCTCCTTATCTTTAATATATTTTTTTAAGTTTTATAAGTTGAAAGTTAAACTTAAGAATACAAATGCAAATGATGCAACAGTTAATGAAAAGTTCAGTTTGCATCATTATGCTAATTGAAGTGTCTCTCTTGTTTGTAGATGTAATGTCATTCTGAGGTTATGATCGCATGCGCATCATTTTTACTATGGAATGTTTACATATGCTAATCCGTTTTACTATGATTTGTTTATGTTCACTGGAGTTCATTCACTGCAATTGAAGTCTATTGGGGGTACACCTGCATTGTGTCTCATGTTGTAGCGGGACTGCTAGGGCTGTTGTTTGGGGATCTTGGATCTCTTGTGGTTAACAAAGTTTGAAACAAGGAAGCATTTCGGTTTGTTGCTTTCCCTTCCCATGTACCTTGATAGTTGATATGGGTGTAATATTCCGTTTACATCGGTTGATGGGGGAGTGTGGCTAAATTAGGTACCTCGATTGATGATCTGAGCGTAAGCCTTTGTTACCTCAGTTGGTGATTGAGTGTAGCTTGTGTACCTCGATTGATGATCTGAGTGTAAGCCTTTGTTACCTCAGTTGATGATTGAGTGTAGCTTGTGTACCTCAATTGATGATCTGAGCGTAAGTTGTTGCACCTTAGTTGAACCCAGACAGTTTTTTAATCAGTACAGGTCATTAAGTTCATGGAAGGTCAGGATACTACAATCATCAATACAGGAATCCCCCTATGAGTTCCAGGTCAAAAGCTCCCCTATTTTCAAAATGGCAAAAATTCATATCTATTTTTTATTGTCAACCATTTTAGTTTCATTGATTTGTCCATCTGTCTGTCCTCCAGTCAACAATAGTGCCACGTTTTAAAACCTGGATCGTAAGAGTCGTGTATGGTTCATCATCAATACAGAACTCCCCTAAGAGTCCCGTTCAAAAGCTTGCCTATTTTCAAAATGGCCGCAATAATCACGAAAATTCAACTTTGGACCATTTGGTAGCTAAATAATTTCAGGTGTCCCACATTGTAAAAACACATGTCACTGTAAATAGTATATAAAATAATTTTTTTAAATCGGCAAAAATTCATATTCGTTTTTTATTGTCGGCCATTTTAGTTATCATTGATTTATCCATCTGTCTCTCAGTAAACAATAGTACCACATTTAAACCTGGGTCAATAGGATTTTTAGGTATTTTGGTTCCTCTTCAATATAGAATCTCCACCCCCTACAAGTCCCGGTTAAAAAGCTCACCTATTTTATTTAACAATGGACACCATTTTACTCACTGAAAATACACTTTTTGACCATTTAGTAGCTTTTTAGATAATGTCAGGTGTCCTGCATTGTATAAAAACATGTCACTGTAAATTGTAATTTTATGAGATAATTTTGTGAAATCCCTTTTTGAGCAACACCATGTTAGCCCAGTACTCATGGTACTATTTATTTAGATTTGTGCATTGTAACACCCAACATGGCTGCCTGGTGCGGAATTTATTTTGAACATCTATATTTTAATTTCCTACCAAAGTAATAGACATAACTGTTACAGATAAATGCTTGCAGTTTAGTAAGAAAATATATATTTTAATTATTCACATGTTGTCCAAGTCATTTCTAATACATGCGTCTCTGTTTTCTTTTAAAATATCTTAAAAATATTACTCGGCAATTGGCCAGAGCTGGGAATATTACCGGAGCAGATCAGTTGCATCAAATAATCTGCTCCGGTTAAATTCCCGGGTCGGGCCAATTGTCAAGTAATATTTTTAAACCTTTTTTTAATCTAACAAAACAGACACATGAATTAGAAATAAAAGAGGTTCTCAATAGTATTAAGACTATGCCAGATATTTTCAGAAGCCTAAATGTTGTAGAACGTTAAAACAATATTTTGGAAAAGGACGTCTGCGCCGATTTCAATAACTTCATATTTTATCAGAACTGGGTTCTAAGAAAATTCCTTCAATTTATAAATGAAATACTTAGCCATTGAATGGAGTGTTTTATTTTGTCATGTTTTGGGGGCCTTATATTTTTTTCGCACGGATATTTTTTTCTGACTGCAAGTGTGGGTGAGGTCCCCCCCTTGTTACATTACGGATCCGCCACTGCCCTTTACAATACGAAGGGGATGTTTAGCATGGGAAACATTTAATTGTAGGCGGGGGGTGGTGGGGGGGGGATTTTCGAGCCTCCTCTTAAAAAAAGCTGGCTACGGGCATGCATCTAACCATACGGTTCAAATACCATTTTCGGTATTGAGTTTGGTAATAAATGATTTATCGAATACATCCTCCATTGAACCACCGCCAATCTATGCTTCCAAATGAGTTATATAGGGTAACTATTTCATCCTAAATCATGTAATTTATAACCTTTGATAATCTGTAAAAACCGTTGCTCTACTCCAAAATGCGAGGAATTTATCAAATATTTAATGGTCTCGTTATATGGTTTCTAGGGCCAGAATGCATTACCATGGCAACACAATGTTTCATTAATTTTGGGACAGCATAATATTATATCATTCATTCCAGGCATTGTACCAACTTATAATAACATTTTTAAGTATGATTATATAGTTCTGTTAAATATGTTTCTGAAAACAATTTGAGCTGATCTCGGGCATTTGGTCATATCCCCAGAATCTGGAAAATAGTACATACATTCACTCTGAAATGTGTTTCCATGGTAACGCTTTAAGCAGGCCCGTAGCCAGGATTTGCCAATGGGGGTTCATTTTTTTAATTCCAGGGGGTTCCCTTTTGACAATAGTCCATAGATGACCAAAATTACTTGAAAATTGCTCAGAATGCTGAAAAACTGCCTGATTTTGAAAGAGTTTTTGACTAGGAGGGGGGGGGGGGTCGAACCCAGGACCCCCCCCCCCCTTCCCCTGCCTATGGGCCTACTTTCAGTAACTTAACTAAATATACTTACTAACCAAAGCAAGCTACCAATATTTTAAGCACAATGGAATAATTCAGTGGCCAATTCCTAAATTTCAAAGACATTGTGTCAACATCAAAATGACATTTATGGCAAAAAAGGCAAAAATCAGTGTATATTTTGTTAAAACTAATCCTTTTTGATAGACTATAAAATGAATGTTTGTGACCAATGTAGATTTCCACTTTGTATTTTCCCGCAGGGGAAGAGTAAAATTTTCAAATGTGAGTTTTTTTTTTTAATTATATCTTCAGCTGCTTCTAACTAACCCATATTTGATACAAGTAACAGGGATTCAAATTGGAAATTATTTGGACCCGCTGAGAAATATCGATAGCGTTCTGTTTCAATGTTTTGAAGGATCATTGAAACTGACATATTGAATTTGAATGCAGATTTTCATTGATCATAAATATGTTCGAAGAAATCCACGAGATCATTGGCGGAAAAGTTTAAGGGAGCAGGGAAATTTTAGATGAATACTAAGTCATTCACTTCATCATCGGCTTAAATAAGTTTTTTATTTACCATAGATTCCTTCTTCAGGTCTTCGTTTATGGAACCATCGAGATATGACCAGGGTGCTTCCTCATTGTCATTGTCGTCCCATGGTGAAGATTTGATACCGGCCCCCACATGAAAATGATGAGTCATTCTGTGACGGTGTAGATCGCGTCTCTTGCCAAATTTAGAAGCACATCCTCGGGCACGGCATTTATGTTTCTGAAAATAGAAAAAATAAGTTACTTAAGATAAGATACTTAAAATTAATTTAGCGTTTAGTAAAGGAGCTGTATTTGAAACTATGGATTTTGATATCGAATGTCTGAGTATGAGTATGAGTATGTCAGATTTTCATCAGCTTATCTTATATCATATTCTCCATATTTACATACATTTACTTATTATTATCTTATAATGGTTTTTAAAGCAAAGTAACATACCTTTCCCCGGGTTTTACATGTCAATTGTTCTTTATTTTTATTCATAGAGTTTTTCAATTTTTTCTTTACAAGACATGTAAGTAGCTTTTCCTCCGTAACTGAGAGATGCTCATTTATACTTCTAGACATTATTTCATGTATTGTTGCCTCTCTCCCATGGCCAGGTGTCATTTCCGCTGACATATCAAGACTGATGTCCATATTAACGCATTGTTTTTTAGGGATACTAGCTATTGGACTAACAGGGCAGCCCTCCAACATATTTGGCAGCTTTCTTTTCTTTCCTAATACTTTGTTATTTGAGTACTCATTGCAAACTCAGCAGTCTTCACAATTATCCAAAATGTCACTCCATTTGGTATTTATGCTTATATAATGTTTCACTTTGGTGTCCTTGTTTTTTCATAGCCTCTTCCCTGCTTCTTATAAAATAACTATGGCAAGATAAGTCATATGAAATGACATAAATATTACCAAATTATTATCAAGATGTCCTTCTGAGACCTTCCTTTGCTCCATTCTACGAAATATATAAAAACTATATTTTAAAAACATGGACGTTAACCCGATTCTGGCATATCATTAATGACTAAACATAACAAATTGTTTAAATTTTGAAATTCAATCATACATTTATCTCATTTTATATATTTTTTATGTGTCTACAACAATCATTTTTAAAAACAAAGTGAATAATTAAAAGCAAACAAATATAGTTAATTGAAAAAACAAAAAAACAGTTTTTAGATTATTTTATAATACATTTTATCTTATGGTAAGTCATATTAATAATTGAGCATTGTGTCTAACATTCTATTAATTGTCTTCATGGCCATCAAGGCAAGTAGGGTCTTCATATCATTATTGGCCATAAGAGTATTAACCAGTTGGTTAGAGGGAACATTGGTTTCAGATTCAGATGTACTAGGTGGGTATACCATCAAATGTGCATGTGGCTTGATGTTGTGACGGTCATGTGACGTGGTGGTGCTTGATGACGGTTGTCTAGTGGCGCTAGGGGTCGGCTATTGAGACCTCGTCTCTGTTGTAGAGTTGCTCAACTGATTAGTGGCGTTAGCTGATTGCTTTTGAGACCACGTCCCTGCTGTAGAGCTTCTCGGCTGATTAACGGCGTTAGTAGCGTTAGCTGACTGCTTTTGAGACCATGACCCTGCTGTAGAGCTGCTCGGCTGATTAGCAGCATTAGCTGATTGCTTTTGAGACCAAAACCTGTAGAGTTGCTCGGCTAATTAGCAGCGTTAGCTGATTGCTTTTGAGACCTCGTCCCTGCTGTAGAGTTGCTCGGCTGATTAGCAGCATTAGCTGATTGCTTTTGAGACCAAGTCCCTGCTGTAGAGTTGCTCTTGCTGACTAGCGGCGCTAGCGGTCGGCTTTTGATACCCTGTCCCTGCTGTAGAGTTGCTCTGCTGTCGAGTTGTTCAAAGGCAGGTTAGTGGCGTTAGGTGGAGTTGGAGGAAACATTTCAATACTGCTAATGTTAAACACCTAAAAATCCAAAAGTAAGAAAAACATTTACTTTTTTATTTGCAATGTAAATTCGTTAAGTGGTTTATAATTATGGTTAATAATAATTAAAAATTAAATTGTTGTCAATCAGTGACCATTAGTTAAAGGACCGTGTGTTTATAGAATGTTTTCAATAATTGGTTTTAAGAAAAAAAAAAAAAAAAGTTCAGTTCTCTTTTGATTATCAATTGATGACATATTACAAGTAAAGGGAGATATTATTGTTTTATCATTGCAATACACATAATATTTTCTTTAATTAGTAATTGGTAATCATTATTAAACATATTACCAACCTCTCGTAGTTGGGAATCGGTAGAATTTTTTTCTAGGGGTAGATTTCTGAAAATAAAAGATAAAAAACTCAAGATATTGTAGTCTTATATTGCTACGCACATTTAAAATATGGAATTAAATTATTCACACAAATTATTTAGACAAATTATCCAGAATGTAAAATAATCAATTATGATTATCATTAAATAAGCTATTTAGTTTACACGTTTTCTACCTCAATTTATTTTTATTTGTTATTTTAGAAAAAACATTGCTCACATATTTTTTATGATTTTTCTCAATTTTGTCCTGATATTCTCATGTGATAATAATTTATCAAAAAAGGCAAAACTTTTAACTAGCCAACGCATTAAGTAAGATTGATTCTGCAGGTTGGGGCATCACATTACCCTCTCCTTGCTTTGGACTTGCTCCGTTTTATTCTTCTCTTCATCAGAAGACGAATTCAGAAGTGAATTGTCTTCTGTATTGCTGTTTGCTTCTGCGTGCGCCTACGTTGGTCAATCAGACTGAGCAGCGCCCTTAAAGCATCCAAAACTTTGATGAATGCTTTCGAGGGAGCTGTCATTTCCTCAAAGATTTTCTTTTCTCAGTGTGTCATTGTAGACGCACAACCCCCTTTGATATAAAAAGTCTAACGCCAGTTCCTATTTCCACTTCTACCGATAGGAAGGAGCCCTTTTCAAGTGCCTCTCAGATGCTCCCCTTCTTTTGTGAAAAATTTCTTAAACACATTTTGGAAATGCAAAAGTTTTCCTCCTCGTTCTCCAGTCTCATGTGGAAACTTTTTGCTGAAAATAGACGTTTCAGTTCCTCTAAATTGATATCATTTTTGATGTACACATAATCATATTTCAATACAAAATTAAGTTCAACACAATCATTCCAAATTGAACTGTTACTTACATTGTAAGATAATGGACCAAATTCGCAATAATGTTATAGAATTGCGGTGTAATAGTCAATTCCATTTTTTGTGTGAAGATCCCTTCCGCATCTATAAATAGTTCAAAAATTCAATCAAGAGTTCATAGTCCTGGTTTTGAACCGTTAAATTTGGCTGGAAATCTACCTTGTTGAGGCATTCCTGCACGTGACCGACGATGTTACGAATGGGGGGTAGATTTAGGAAACCGCACAATCTGTCACATCTGGCCTTTACATCCATCATGGAGACGCCCTCTAAAGCATTTGGTAAATAATCTTTCACTTGCTGAATCCAATCCTTAGCGCATGTATGGTTTTCGCCTAACTTGTCTTCATCCCCCTGACAATTGGTACAAGCTTGAGCATTTTCAAAGATGACAATCTGTCTCAGTAGAAACAGAATGCACACCCTCACAATTGTAAGCACCCCTGGAGTGCGAAAATCTGAAAAGAGATCAAGGAAATCTGGTATTGGCCGTCATACACAGCTTGGAATTGGCGAAGATGGTCCATATTACACAGCTGGGCATTAAAGGGGGGGGGGGCTGAGTTTGAACGTTCGTGAAGTTGGATAGCCAGTCTAGTTTTGAAATACCTACCATGTTTTATATTGTTCCATCGAATTATCTGGTCGGGTGTCCTATCTTTTTGACTAATTGCAGTGATTTTCGGCCACTCTATCCCCAAAATTATAAAATGCGAAAGACATGGGCTATCATTGGAAATCATAGAATGTACCAAATGCAGTTTTATTTATAATGATGACATTAAATGTAAAAATATCCATGAGCAACACATCTTGGTTGCTTTGAATAATTCTCTTTAGCATATTAAGTATCTTTTGTCGGTGATCTCCTTTTTTTGAAGCAAGGCAGTATTGAGCGGCTCTTTGAATGAGGGGTTAGACACATGAAATCTAACGTCGGCATGGTGTGGTATACCCGCCAGTATGTTTTAGTGGTATATTAGTGCTGAATCTCCAATTACATAAATTATAATTACATTCATAATCATAATTTTCATTTCTTTTACTTTCAGTCAACTTTTAGTAATTCCAAGTGCAATGCAATGTATGAATGAAACAAGGGCAAGAGATAAACTAAGTACCAACAATGTAGGTCTTGAGTGTATGCTAGTCCGGTTTTTTAGACGATGGGGCATATACACCACCAATCTCATTGAAATCTCCATTCGTCATCTCCTAGTAAAAATAAAAGCTGGGATTTATGGAATAAACGATGTTGCTACGTTTTTAAATAATTTCCCAATACTCACTTAGTATTGCAAGTTTGCCCATTTCTTGATTCTGATTTCTTTGCTCCATTCTATGGCAAATATATAGTGTACTGCCCTCACACGTTTGTGTAGTATCTTTGGAGAGTAATCCCTGTATGCTGGACATTCAAAGACAATTTAAACGGAGTATCTTACAATGACAATCTGCTGTTTCTGTTGAGCCATTTTGATAAATGTTCAGTTCAGGTTGTGTTTTTAAGCTTTTTTATTATAAGATGTTTGCTAAATTATCCGTGAATGCCTGTACCATTTTTCACTACCATTCCAAGCACTAAAGCTCAGAATGTTTGGTCTTTTTTAAGAAAGCCCACAATGTTTTTTGCCTTTTTTACTAGCTGTGCTAACACAGTTACATAAACACCATTAAAAAATTTCTCCTTCGAAGTCGATAAATCATTTCTAGATGTAATTTTACATAATTCTTTTGATTTGATTGGTTCTAGGGTATCTGAGTGCATGAGATCAGGCTAGATTTCTGGAGTCATCAGAAAAAAGTTTATGGTACGGTTGGATGGATGGGATCCAATCTTGATTAAGAAAAACTGAGATCCCACTGGGGCATTCTAGAACATATTTCCGGTTCCAAGTAGCTAAATCTGTCACAACCCCTGGAGGAATTAACATAGTGTTGTCTAAACCATGTCACTTCATATTGAGATGAATGTCAATTTCAGGCATGAAATTAAGTCATTTATGCCAAATGGTGTATTCAAACTCTAAGGATTTGAATTCTTCAATCTTTTTTTCCTTGGATATCCAGTTTTGGATAATACCATGCTTTAGTTGAATGATTTATTCTCCATTCATTCATCAATTGTATTGGAAACATTATTCATCTACCTATACAGATGCTTGTTCATGAAATAATGGGTCACAAATATTTTTTGGACTTGTACGAGAGACCAGATGTCATGAAGTCGCCATAGACACCTCAAAAATTATATGCGCAGAGCATACGTTATCTGTTTCCTAAACAAGTGTGTTTTAGTGGTATATTAGTGTTCAATTTTCAATTGCATAAATTATAATTACATTTATAATCCATATTTCTTTTTATACTTTCAGTCAACTTTTAGTAATTCATGTTTGTAAATGGTGATTTAAGGTTAATGTCAATGTCATTGTGAATTCCGATATGATTTAACTCAAGAGACTTGATAAGGTATAAACAAGTTATTTACATAACTTTATGCAGTGATCGGATGGGTTACATTCTTATTGTATGGGAATATCACAGCGTTATGCAAATTTCTAGATGATTAAAGATCTACTCACGGAACATTTGGGTTTGTGCTGAGGCTCTGGTTTCAAGATGGGTTTGTTGGTGGATGTTGCTGATGGAGCTGGATTGTAGCTGCTCGCATTTGTCACATTTGATGACTTGACTGACTCTGAATTGAAATGAATTTTTTCATTATCTTTAGTGCGCTGCATGGAGCAGAGAGCTGGTGTTCAGGTTTTGAAATGTTTTCGCTGGTGATTGTTGCTGACGGAGCTTGACTGGAGCTACTTGCAGTTGATGGCTTGATAGTTGATTTACTAAACTTGAATTTTGTCACTTGTTTTTTTGGGTTGAGAGCTCCATAGATCCGAGATTTTACTCTTTGCATTTGTTTTTTCTGATGATGGTTTTGACACTGTACTGGTGCTAGCTGTTGGTGTTGCAGTGCCATGAACTGCAGCAGTCTTTTGAATCTTAAATAATAAATATAAGAAATGTGTTTGATTGAATAGTAAACAAGAAATGGGTTTTTGTGTACTAAGCATTTATCTTATTATAATTAACCTCCCTGTATTTTGCTGTTATGCATCTCCATTCTCACCAGGTGTGTTATTTTATTAAATTATTTATCAAACTGATGTAGACAAAAAACTTCAATGACTTTAATAATTTTTTTTTTACTTAAAGAATACAGTTATACTTACATATTGAAGAGTGGGGCATGTGTTATGCGCCCATTGTCTATTAAGAGAGTCATCTCTTTTAAAATAGTTCTTACAACCGCTGCATTGTTTCTTAGTGACAACTTCCTTGACATGAACTCTATTTATGTGCTGTAGCATATTCTTTTTATTTGTGAATGACTTTGCACAAACTCCGCAAATGAATTCAAAAGTGGCCGACATAATTACTTAATAGTAAATGAGTAACCATGTCCAATTCTCTCTGATTTTGTTCCATCTCATATGTAATCCTCTAATACAAGATTCATAATCTAGATATTCGGAAGTTTGCATTGATCGATTGATCAGAACTCTCGAGGACTTCTATGCACATAACATCATGTATATACAAGATAAGGATATTGATGTTATACACTTAACAAACAGGAAGATACTATTCGGAAAGATAATTAATCTAATTGAGAGAAGGTTTAATATGTGTATGAATTTGGGAATGTGATTGTAAACACTTAATTGCTAGAAGTGAATATTTGCAGTCGCTGGAAAAATGTACGGACTGGTGGAGCAAACCAGACAGAATTAGCCAGACAGTTGTTACTCTCCTTTTTTTTCGTTTGAGTTTCAGATTTGATTTACGAACTTTCCTTCTGAGTTGATTTTTCATTGGTTAGCGGGTGCCTAGCTCTCCAATACACCGGTATTTGCCTCAATTGTTCTTCTGCAAACCCTTGTGCATGCAAATACGGCAATTCTTGTCATCTTGATTGAGTGATTTCTACCCGACAGCTCCACCAATTTGAACCCAATCACCCGTGTATGTCACGTGATCAATGTTCGATTATTCCAGGATCTTGTAGGTTTCATCATCCTAAAAAGCACTTATTTAGAAAAGTGTCTAGAAAATGTTCTAAAATAAGTCCTTGTAATAGTATTGAGTGTTTTATTTTTTCTTCCTTCCGTGACATTATTTAATACAGTTTTCATTTCACTCAAATGTTGTTGTACTTTGATGTTGTTCAAGGAGTCTTTTTCTCGCTTTTCTTTATACTCCCGTATTTTGTTATCCATATTATTCTCATTCAAGTCCGACATTTCTTTCTTCAAAACCCTAGCTTCGTTAGTTTTGCCGGGTTAGTCTCTGCTCCGGATTGTCGCATTTTGTTTCTATATCAAAGAAGATATAGCCTTCCAGAGCTTGTTTTCTATCCATGGTTGCCACATTGTCATCAGCAGTATCCTGACTGTTGTGGTTACTGTCAACACTTAAAATATCAGAATTAGAAATGCCTTAAGAAGTAGATTAAAAATTGCTTTTATTTTACGATTGAACGCTATATGATCACATGATGTCTATTACATTAGTGCATGTTTGTATAGTTTTTGAATACACCTATAGAGTACAGTTAATAGCATACCATATAAGGCGGTGCTTCCTGACTATCCTCGATCAATGACTTGAAATACTTTTCACTTTTCTTCTTTAATTTGGGAAGTTGTTGCATGTAGCATTTGTGCCCATAACCGACTTTGATTCAACATATCTTACAGATTTTTGCATAGCACACGTGGTCGCTTCTTTGTCGTTTACCATTGTTTGTATACATATTCAATTCTTTAAGAAACATGCATACATTTGGTGCAGTAGAATTTGACGTCACATTTCGGCACCCCTGACACTTCTGATGGAAGCTTCTGGTTTTGCAGGTATGTCGCACCAGTAAAGAAGACGATACAATCTTTGCATTTGTATTCCTTAGAAATGGTACGACCTTTACATTCATTGCTTTCACATTCACAGTAGCGACAAATGCCAAGACAGGCGTATAATCATGGTGTGTCATAACCTTCTTCGCAGTAGTAAGGTGCATTTGCAAACACTAGTAGACTATTTAGTACAGCGATGTGATTTTCGTAAAGGAACAGATATATGTGTTTTGCTGTATCAGACAGTTTGGTAGGTCCTTTGTACAACTGGAATAGAGATAAAGCATGTTAATCTATAGGCCATTGAACATGTCTCAAAAAATAGGGTTCAAACTATACTTTTAATAATAAAAAAAATTTTAATCTTAAAAAATATGATCAATATCTATGTGTGTATGTACTCATACCACTTTAGTGCTATGCTGTCCAAAGAGGAATATCTGGTATTGACCATCGTAGACCATCTGAAACCTCTTCAAATGCTCCATATTACAGACTTCATCGGGGCCAGGGGGTGGTGTATTGGATCTTTCATGCAACTGTCTAGCTAATTCTGTCTGGTTTGCTCCACCAGTCCGTACATTTTTCCAGCGACTCTTTTGAGCGTCAGTCCTGTCCCAAACATTCACTGATGTATATTTTCTATACTCGATAGCCGTGACAATGCTTCTACTAAGACATTAGTTGTCTGTATTTTGGATTTCTATTATTGATCGGGAGTTCCGAACAAATTTATGTACATCGCAATCTCTTAGGGAACCTTTCTTTTTCAGATGGAGGCCAAACCCGGGACCATGCACGATAATCATATTAAATGTGAATATTTCGTCCAATTCTTTTTGATTAAATTGCCGGTGTTTAAAGGATCTTTAAAGATGTTATTGCACACATGAAAACATACCAAAGCATCATTGGGGATATCCGAAAGTAGTTCATCAAATACAATGTGATAAAATAATCTATGTAAATGATGGAGTATTTCAGGGAGAGTAAGATTCTGGGGAATTCGTAGGGAATATGCATGATTAACCTCATCCGTATTCAGCCCCTGATGATGTCTTTATGTGGTATTAAGTCTGTTATAAAAGTCTGTAATGGGTCTGTTTTCATTTTCTGTACTGTCCGAGTCTGAGTCGCTACTTATCAACTCAAATCGAATTGGTTCATCGTCATCTGTTTCGTTGTTATTACCTCGGCAAAGTTGATTTGTTCTAGATGCTATGTACTCTCTAATACAGCGATTAATGTAATTTCTTGGTAGACCGTTTTGTATACACATGTGCATCAATCGTGTAAACGTTTTATCTGTTTTCACAGAATCATGGTCAAAGAGCAACAAATCAATGTTAATATCATTCTCAAAATCATCGAGTACCAGTGATAAATGTTCGTCAGATATTTCAGTGGCATTTAAATAGGTCTGTATCGCTATACATCTGGACAACATCTAGTGACATTTGACTGTCGCCCTAACCAAGTTTTTCCTGTGAAATGTAAAATTAAATAATATAAAATAGCCCAAATAGTCTCACATTATACATATGATTACGTCTGGCGTTTTAAAGAATGGATCTGTATTTTACTTATTTAAATACGAACGTATACATACGATTAAGGTTGTTATCCGCAGCATGAGATCCCTTCGAGCAATTGTCTCCCTACAATTGTGTAGTTGATTCCTTTCAATAAAATCGTCAAGACGGCCTATGCTGTCCAAGACATCTAATTGCTGTTTAAGATCCTGTTCCATTTTGACTTTTCCCCAACTGTCAAATCTCAGTGCATCTCTAAGCCACACTACCACTATGTTATATACTATTTCTAACCTTGAAACAGAAATATTTGTGTGTCATAGCAATAATCACCTTAACCACAATATTTAAATCAAATGATCAAACTATTCATAGCCATGTCAATACCTACCACAGTAACAAATCCTCAGTATAAGCTATTTCAAACATTAACATGTAACTTACAGTTCATATTAGGAATTTTAAGTTTCGATATAAATTCGAAATGCCAGCATGTACACATCACCATACAAATGTAGCGCTTAAATAAATCCCCGTTCACGTTTAGCTTGTGAAAAACAGTGCAAGCTTGAACTCCCTACTCTATACACCAATGCGTGTACATAGCGACACGCTCTAAGACCAAAACAGTGTTACTATTAAAGGTTATTTCTTCAAATCTTAGATTGCGTACGAGGACACAAGTATCGCAGTTAAAAACATGCCACGCAAACCCAGGTATTATCTCTTCGATACCTGCCTGCACCCTCTCACGTGACTTATTATCACTCACACAGTTGACGGAAACGTCTTTCTGTAGATTGAAATCATGGAACGAACTCCGTGTATCCCTTCCCTCCCATTATATTTACATGCTGTAACTGTTGTTATGGTTTCTATAGTTAACTCAGATGATATGTACAGGTATATTGACTTAAGTGTATCCATTATAAAGTAATTTGAATGTTTGCACTGTATAAAGTTTACCAATAAGGTGGGTATTGTCTATTCATACCAGTCAGAACATCACATGTTTTGATTACTTCTGATCTCCCAAAATGGATAGTCGTATGTGTCACAACTTATGCAATTGCGTTAAATTGGATATACAGGGTGTCCCGAAAGTATGGGGCCCCCCCTAGGCAGACATATACCAGTGTCGTCATAGTATGTGTCATATATCATTTTAAAGCTTATCCAAAGTTACATTGATTCACCAAGTATCATGGTTCAACTATCAAACGTGAAAAAATTACAGGCATTTCAAAATTTAGTGTTTGGTCAAAATTGAGTTCAATTTTACACCAAATCACTAGTCAATGTGTCCTCCTGGGCCATCTTAACAGCAGCAATTCTTTTTGGGTCGGATGGATAATGAGTTGGAAAAAGAGAACGGTGAGGGTAGAAACTCAAAGGAAACTCTTCTAAAGTGCCTTAGCAGGTTTTAAGAGGGTTATAAAATTCCACACCCCTATTTGAAGGGCTTTTAAGGTCATATTTGAAAATAATTGCGGCTGTTAACATGTTCAAGGGGGGACTCATTGACTCGTAATGTGGTGTAAAATTGAACTTTATTTTGATAAAACACTAACTTTTAAAATGACTGTAACTTTTTCCCATTTGGGAGTTAAACCATGATACTTGGCGAATCAATGTAACTTTGGATAAGCTTTAAAATGATATATGACACATACTATGAGGACACTGGAATATGTCTGCCTAGGGGGGGGGCCCATACTTTCGGGACACCCTGTAGGTTTCATGGAAAGTTGCAAGGATCTTGCATTATGCAGGATGAAGGATGTAGGTGAGTGTACCTGTCATCCTTTAATGACAACCAACTTATTAAAAATATTAAGACTGAAGAAAATATATAATATTTTGATTTAATTGTATATTTCAATATTTTTGTAAACCATTTTGGCTAGACTAGATACAACATTCATGGTACAGCTTTCTGTGAAGAAAACTATTTACAAGTTTCATTGGTTTTCATTAAATATTTACATAGTTAACTCTTTACAGGAGGTACATGTCTAAATGTATCAACATCTAGTCCTACAACAGCAACAGAGGTCAACCATGAAATGCCACACTATGAAGACCCAAAATTGTGGCTAATTGTACCATGCCTTATGATGGTTGCTTTTTTCATTATATGTGAGTCTTAATTTATACTTCAGAATATGATAAGTTAATATATGAACTTCTGTTCTAGTTAATTTCTAGTCTTTTGACATTGAATTCGGATATATTGATCAACTCATTTCATTTCAGTTCTCATAGTAAGTTTTGTGAAAAAAGCACTGAAGAATAGACGGAGTTAAGCCATCCAACACATGGAAATGGGTGAAATTATTGGAACTGATGACACAACCTATCCAAAGTAGGAAAATGCAAATTTCAAAATCATATTATAAATATCATATTTACATACATATAATACATTTCAGTGAGTGACAATTACATGCTTAACATAATGACAGTGCAATGATAATGTACTTTCATATTACAATTGAAAATAAAATATCGATTATCATGGATTAGTATCACATACTGACATGCATTACAATGAATAAACTCTCATTAATTTCACATTAATCTAAACTTAATCTGTGAGACTTAATAATCTATCCTTTATCTGGGTTGAACAATTCTCAGAGAGATGAATTGGTTTATTTTCACGCAAAGTTCCGTAAATTAAATGACAACCAAGTAAAGTAAAGTAATAGTAACATGTAAAATCTATTTCATAAAACAGGAAGATATGTTTACTATTAGCAACTAAATTAACCAACAAATTTTTCTTTTAAAGTAAACTGAGTGTACCTGTTCCACTGGTATTTTATACTCCTCTAATATATACCGTCATAAAGATTGCAAACGTCTTTGCCCAGGCTATCAGTCACTTTCCCATTGTTTGTTATTTTTGGATTTTTGATATCCTGGTTTTTATACCTGATGGTTAACTCACCAGGCACTACACAAACACGTTTGCTATCATTTCATTTGCATTCTGCAATACAGTTGAGTGTACTTCTTTGCCCACTCACTTGTAGGATAGAGTTACTCCCAAGTTGTGACAGGCGTAGCTCTTCTACTGCCCAACAGTTAATGCTTTCGGCTCTCTGAAAACAAAACAGTTGGAATACAAGTATAAACATTTAGAGTGTGAATCTCGTTGCATTTATCTCATGATTAAGTGATATTGAATCATTTATGTAATTGGTGCATTATTTCAACATTTATACAGTACTTGGTTACACTTCTATATGTTAGGTTGAAAATAATTAGAACTTTAAAGGGACAATCAATGATTGATTTCAGTTGCCAAAAATTTGTGCAGGACGTATGTTCAGATTAGTATGTTCAGATTGTAATTTTACTTACCAGTCTGTTTCTGTGATTTGTTTGTTCTCTAATCTTACAAATTTGGAGTTTCTCCTTCACATTCTGTAAAAATATAGAGGAAAGTATATGTTTTAGAAAACATAACATGTTTGGAAATATCTTATAATTAATTTTTGGCACATTCATCTTATATACACTCGCAGTTTTATCTGACAATATAACATACTTTCGAATGTCCTACCTTTAATTCACTTCTCGTTTCAGCTAGTTCTGCTGTTTTCTCACTCTCTCTTTGCCTTGCCGCTGTTGCCTCGGCTTGTGCTTCCTAGAGAAATAATAAAAAGTACTGTTCTAAATATTGACAATTAATACTCCATGCTTTCATCTCTTCTAATCGTTATGTGCGGGTGATATTGACTTCTTATTTGAATGATGTTATTCATCATACAATTTTATTGTTAACGTAGCTCAAACATATGGCTTTTACTAGACTTGTTAATATACATACCTGTATCATATGCTCCAACTGTTCCATTTGAGCCACAAGTTCCTCCCTTGTTTGTTGGAGCATATTGACATCTTCCTAATAAAATAAAAAATAAAATAAATAAATAAATGAATAATAATAATAAAAATTCCACTTTGTTTTACATGCCTAAACCATGTAATTTTCAAATTGAATTTTCAATAACCCCACATCTTAGATTAAACATACATTACACTAAATGAAAACTGGTGTGAATGTAACAATACTCTGTTTTAGTCGTGTTTACGTTATAATAAATTAACAAATGACACTATTTAAAGTAACTCAAATCTCACCAAATATGACTCGGAAGTTTCAACAGCTGCCATCTTCTCTTTTGTCAGCCGGTTTATCGTCTTCCTGAGTTTAGCGTTGGTGTTCTTCAACCCATTAGATTTCACTTCCATCTCATCATATTTTCGCTTCTAAGGATAGAAACAATTGAAAGTCATTGGTTAAAGTAAATCAATCAAATCATGTTTATATATATACCTTGCTGAATATTTGTTCTTAAATTGATACATGGTCAAAATACATTCACAGAGCTTTCTGAAGCTCAATGTAGTGAATATTTTAATTTAGTAAAATTCAAGGTATTAGTTTTTACAATTAACTTTTGTTTGATGATATCTGTACTTTGTCAGCTCTGTACATATAAAATAAATGATTTACCCCTAAAACGACTTCTTCCTTTATTTCTTGTATATCAGTTTTGAGTTTACTCATCTGTAACTCAGTTATGTTTTCATCAACAGCACAGTGTACTGGGTGGGAAGTGCTAGGCTGAAATTACATAGAACAACATGTAATAACTAAGTATTCACCTTTTCACTGTATCATTCAGTTTATACACTAAACCATAAACGTGTAGCTCTATACTTTTGTAAACTTAAACTATACTCTGTTGGTGAAAATTTCTTGACTTTACCGTTGTCAGGGTGTTCCAGTGTGTTTATGACAAGATGAATATAAGTTTTTACCTGTTGACTTGAACTGCGTGCATCATATGCTGGAAGATTCAGATCTCTTGCCGCCTCCCTTCCATTAACAGATGGCACCATATGCCTAGCATCATAGTGGTGTCTTTCCTATCAGGATGGATTAAAAGTAATACATTTATTTCACTAACACATATTTAATTTGTACCAGCTAGATTTGGCATCATATGATCACCACGCTACTTTTTGAAATTGATCAGAAAACATTAACTTAACAATAAAAGAAAAATAAGGGATCAACTCACAATTAGGTCTAAGTTAACATTCTCTTGGGAGGTGTATCCACCAACAAAAACCCCATGATTATGCATTATGTCTCCATCATCCTGAATTAAAAGTATACAAAATACCTAATAGATAATTAAACATATCATGATCAGAAATTAACTAAGTTCGCATCATAAAACTTTAAAATTACGTCACAAAACATTACACCATTGAGTTGAAACTAGACATAATTCATGTAAGTACCAAGGAGGATTGACTCCCAGAATGCAACATCGATACTCTACCGATACTGTATGATGTCATGACTACACAATTCAAATTCAAAAAGACGCCAATTTGTTCACTTCAACATTTGAAATCATTAATTATGGTTTTATTTTCAAACTAAAAAGCAGTTTGAATTTGAATTTTGTAGTCATGACATCAAGAGTGCCGACAGAGTATCGATGTTGCATCCTGGGAGCCAATCCTCCTTGTGTAAGTACTAAATATTCAACATTAGTCAAATATAATAAAATAATTTTGTTTTAAAATATGCATGTATTGTCTGGTTGAAAGAATATTTCAAAATATCTTATGTGATATTTTCATTGTTCCATTATTCCGTAATTTAATATTAATTGTTACTCACACTTTCTGAGTTGGAAGAACTGTTTCCATTAGATATGTTGTAATATCCGGTATCCATTTTAAGATTTTTTAAGAAGTTTTGAGATTGACTCAGACTTGAATTCAGGCTTAATTGTACGCTGCTGACTTGATTACCAAAACTGGGCCGATTGGAAAGATCACATTTATTTTATATCTTGAAATTATCGTTAAAATAAACAGTGACCGTAAATAGTTTATCCCTTAATAAATAGTGGATCAAAACCTTCAGGGAGGTGTATCTATTACCAAAAACTCCATGATTGTGCATTATGTCTCCATCATCCTGAATTAAAAGTATACAAAATGCCATACCATACTATTCAACATAAGTCAGATACAATAAAATAATTTTGTTTTAAAATATGCATGTATTGTGTGGTTGAAAGAATATTTCAAAATATCTTATGTGATATTTTCATTGTTCCATTATTCTTTTGCTTTAAACCAATGTTCAAAATGAATCATGCCCCATGGAAATTTGGTTTTTGCTCTCACATCTCAGAATTTTTCATCGTAAACTCGCCATCCTTGGTGCTTTTGAAACAATTCTGTAACTGCCACCATATGTTTCAGAAGGTGAGGTGTTTGATCTGGAAAACGTATAGAGTAGATGGATATGTACATGATAAAGGCCCTTATCCATTCTGGAAAAGCAAGGATTCTTCCTTTTTTAGTATTGTTGGTATTAAGATTGATGTGTATTGATTCATACGTTCCATCTTCCTTCACCTCAGTCAAAACATAATCTTGTTTTGCATCTTCCTCAGGACCTTTGACCAGTGCCGAAAGATTGATAAATTCATCCTCCCAAATTTTTTCCTTTAGTTTCTGAGGAACCAGACTATGTAGAGGTGATGACTGCATGGACAATGATAACTGATAATCAGGTGGCGGGGCACAAAAAGTGCTTTGTTGAGCTGCTGGGAATTGTTGTTGTGGAAAAATGGAATATAAAGGATTTGTTGCAGTCACCTGACTTGACACAATGGGGTTATGGGACAAAGAAGTTTCTCCTGATGATGAATATATAGGTACGAAGCCTCCTAATTGTGATGAACCCGGGACTGGATTATATATGGTGTGGGCGGTGGATATGTTTGGGGGAAGGACTTGTGTCGATTGAAATGGTTGACGTAACCAAAGATATTGGTTGGTTGGAATTCCAGGGTAAGGTGGTCTACTTGGTAATGATCGTGGAATCAAACGAGGGGGATTAACTAAGGGTATGGAGCCTGACATAGCTGAAGATGTGAGGATGGTTGAGTCAATGCTCCTCCACTAGTATAACCTCTACTTAGGGATGGCATAGAACTGGTGGCCTCAGGATATTCCTCAACAGTTATAGCGGGCTCAGGACTTGTCATCTGAAATAAATTCAATTTACTATTTCCATTCCCTTTAACTGGGAATCCTTATAAATGATACATTAGAAGGTTTAAAGAGATAGTTGATGAAGATGTATAATTAAATTGTAGAAATGAATGTATTTACTAAATAATTATAATAGAAAGATTAACTACTTTATTTAAAGATTATTAATGTGTATAGACTCCCTGGCATGAGTTTGTTAGAAAGAGTTGCCTTCTCTTTCTTACCTTAACTATTTTTTAAGTAGCGGACAATGGCTCCCCTCCATGATCTTGCTAATCGTTCTTCCCCCATGGCATTTAAATGGACAGGATCATTTGGAAGATCAAGGATATTCTTCCATGTGGGGCCGGTAAACTTCCCACCTGGGTGCTCATTTGTATGGGGGTGTTGTAAGAGATGAATACTTGGATGGTTGGATTTATAAATTATATCTGCTAGGATAATGTTTGTGGAAATGATATTAGAGTTGCAGGCTATGGCTTGAGAGGGGGTATTAAAGAAATATTTAGTTGGGTGCCAAAATCTTTGAAATAACTCTCCAATAAAAAAAGATCTGCAGAGTAAATGGTGGCCTACAGTTCTTTGTTAAAAAAATTTGTGCTAATTCCCTAGGAGGTGTTTCCATTGCATCATTTTCGCCACATTGCATTATTGTAACCTCGCAACCAGGATGTCCCAGAAAAAGATAACCTGCTCTGAATGCACCACCTGACCACCTGGTTTTGTTGTGTAATAAGGGATTACAATGTCATTATCCATGTGAAAGTCATAACTATTGTGGTCTCTCATTCTTCCAATAAAACTGTGACCTAAGAGATTTAGGCGAATAACTCTAACTTGGCTCTCTTTTCTCATAGCCTTTAACTCATTAGGGGAAGGCTCTTTGGACTGTCTGAGGTATTTAAATGGAAGACTCCTGTCTGTCATGTTGGAATTTTGGAAAGATTGGGGGGGGGGGGGTTGGTAGAGACACCTGTCTAATATAGATAGAGGATAAATAGAGGAAGTGTTAATGTGCTCTTCTGGATAGCTGAAAGATAAAAAGAATAGCTTGTTATGTTAGAAAGAAAAAATTGTTGGGACAAACTTTGTAATAAGATATAAATCAAATTTATATATTTTAATGATGACTTGTACTGAATAATTTAATAATTTACTTGAAAAATTAAAAGTAAATACCTTGAAGAATAGGATATATGATTGGTGAAATATATTTCCTCTCGAGGAAGGATCAAGATGGGACAGTATAACACAGGTGCTAATCTAATCCAAGGCAGTATAAATGTGGGCTACAATTAAAATGTGAGGCTTTATAAATATGGGAAAAATAATATATGGCTAATACTTGTATGCCATCATTATATACAAGACTAACAAAAGTTACTAATATAATGACTGTATATAAAAATATTAAAACTTAGAATATTAAGCCTAACTTGAGGCTGAATGGGTTAAAATAATATTAAAGGAAACAACAAAATTCACCACGGCATGGTGATAATTTGAACGTGGAAAAAGATAAGGGAGGGTTATACCAAACTTGTGGTATTCATATTTAAAAATATAAACTATTGGCTTCAGCCTGTAAAATAACATCACAACATGGTGATAAAAATTCAAACACAACCAGTTCTAAATGGTGGTAAACAATAAACATATAACAAACTGGTATAATACAAGTACAACAAGGTATAACAATAAAACACCTTATGGTGATAATAAGAAAAATTATTGGGTTCAATACCTGGTTGGATAAGGAAGATCTGGCTAACAGCTCAGCTTATGACATAGGACTAGTGGAAATAGTTGAAAAACTGGTTGCTGGTCAATATATATATATTGCGTGTACTACAAAATTTAAAAGCAAGTATGGTTATAAAACTTACATAAGGGTTGACTTAAACAATGATTATTTGTGTTTTTAAATCGAACTGGCGAAATTACAAATCGCCGATTATACAGTAAAAATAACATGCCACTTCCAGTTTGCTTTATCTTCTCAATATTTGTTAGACTGCCTAGAAAGAAAATTAATTTGAAAGGTACAAAACGTCTCTGTCTAAGTGCCATAAAACGAAAGATATTATTATTGGAATATAGAAAAACATTTCCAAACAAAGAATAGACTCTTGTCTATCATAAAATAATTCCAAAAAACAATAAAACAGCCTACTTACTCAAGATTCTGATAGATTGTCAGGAGACACAAAATAACTCAGTGGCATTGTGTTGGTTGGAATGGTATGAAAGAGAGGCTCAACATACGGGCTCTTCAGACTTGCGCAAAAATTCCCTATACTTACCCGGGAATAGCGCAAACCTAAAAACAAGAGATCGACTCCCACAAGGCATAAATGTAATTATTTGCAATAATTGTTATATATGTAAATATTTCGTCCAATTCTTTTTGATTAAAAGACCGGTGTTTAAAGGATCTTTAAAGGTGTTATTGGACACATGAAAACATACCAAAGCATCATTGGGGATATCCGAAAGTAGTTCATCAAATACAATGTGATCAAATAATCTATGTAAATGATGGAGTATTTCAGGGAGAGTAAGATTTTGGGGAATTTGTAGGGAATATGCATGATTAACCTCATCCGTATTCAGTCCCTGATGATATCTTTATGTGGTATTAAGTCTGTTATAAAAGTCTGTAATGGGTCTGTTTTCATTTTCTGTACTGTCCGAGTCTTGAGTCGCTACTTATCAACTCAAGTCGAATTGGTTCATCGTCATCTGTTTCGTTGTTATTACCTCGGCAGAGTTGATTTGTTCTAGATGCTTTGTACTCTCTAATACAGCGATTAATTTATTTAATTACTTGGTAGACCGTTTTGTATACACATGTGCATCAATCGTGTAAACGTTTTATCTGTTTTCACAGAATCATGGTCAAAGAGCAACAAATCAATGTTAATATCATTCTCAAAATCATCAAGTGCCAGTGATAAATGTTCGTCAGAGATTTCAGTGGCATTAAATAGGTCTGTATCGCTATACATCTGGACAACATCTAGTGATATTTGACTGTCGCCCTAACCAAGTTTTTCCTGTGAAATGTAAAATTAAATAATATAAAATAGCCCAAATAGTCTCAAATTTTACATATGATTACGTCTGGCGTTTTAAAGAACGGATCTGTATTGTACTTATTTAAATACGAACGTATACATACAATTAAGGTTGTTATCCGCAGCATGAGATCCCTTCGAGGAATTGTCTCCCTACAATTGTGTAGTTGATTCACATTTGTACGATATTGTAAAGATTGTACGATATTGTGACAACCGATCAAAATTATATCGATGTAAAATGCACAAGAGCGTTTACTGTAGACATGTATTGGTCAAACAGTTTGTCTCTGATGCATTTTACATTTTTTTGGTACAGTCCTATATGGACTGTTATTTTTGCATTGCCAAAGCAGCGTGTCTTGTAACTGGGATGTTTTAATCATATTTGCAATGTCCATCATCATTCTAAGCATAAGCATCTTAAACAGTACAGCATTTAGGTGTTGGAGTTTGTGAATTTGGTCATTACATGTCGGCGTTTCCCTCTCAACAGATTTGGCGTTGTTGGTCGTATGTATTGCTGCTGGTGGTGTTTGTGCTGCTGATGGTGGTGCTTCGGGAGTGCCGAGGGAGGTGATGTTTCCATCGGCGCTGTGATGGCGCTGTTTGTGGTCCTTTGTGCCGCTGTTTTTGGCGCTTCGGGCGTGCTGCGAGGTGGTGAGGGAGGTGACATTTCCTTCACCGCCGTGTCGGCGCTGTTTGTGGTCCTTTGTGCCGCTATTGTCGCTTTTGGTAGCGCTATGGGCATGTCAGGCAGGGTGGCTGGTAGCTGCTCAATGTCGCTTATTTGGAAGTCCTAGATGGAAAATTAAGAAATACCATTTTGTAATACTATATGGATAGTTTATTGATACATAATCATAATAATGTGAAAAAGCTAAATCTGATTATACTTTATTTTTTACAAAGGAGTCCAGTATTATAAATGCATCGCTTTCCAATGCATATATGACTTATAAATTTAAATTAAGACTATGTTTCGCTCACCTCCCAGGAATCGCAGGCTTTAGGAGACAATGGTGGTAGCTCATTGTCGGAGCTATCCATCAGCAGATCAAGCTGAAAAACAATGTTTGACTTACTAACAGTTTTTGGATTTTTCTGTTATTAACATACATTAACGACTTAAATAATATAACAAGAGCCAGAGATGCGAGATGATATCAACTTTAATGAACTGCCTTGTTGAATTAAATGGTTAAAATAAAGGACAGCTCTCTCATATCATTATCAGAAATAAAATTAAAATTATTGGGTAAAAAATTAAAAAATAATTGGGTAAAGTCTGAAAATTAACGCACCTTTATAGGTTTCTTATCCCAATTTGAAGTGCGCCCATGGCTTCGCTTGGTCTTTTGGGCTTTGGCATTAGCCAATCATCGCCCAAGACAATATTGTCAGTAATTTTACATCAAGGGGGGTCACAATTGTACGATATTGTAAAGATTGTACGATATTGTGACAACCGATCAAAATTATATCGATGTAAAATGCACAAGAGCATTTACTGTAGACTTGTATTGGTCAAACAGTTTGTCTCTGATGCATTTTACATTTTTTTGGTATAGTCCTATATGGACTTTTATTTTTGCATTGCCAAAGCAGCATGTCTTGTAACCGGGATGTTTTAATAATATTTGCAATGTTCATCATCATTCTAAGCATAACCATCTTAAACAGTACAGCATTTAGGTGTTGGAGTTTGTGAATTTGGTCATTACATGTCAGCGTTTCCCTCGCAACAGATTCGGCGATGTTGGTCGTACGTATGGCTGCTGGTGGTGTTTGTGCCACTGATGGTGGTGCTTCGGGAGTGCCGTGTTGTGCCGAGGGAGGTGACGTTTCCATCGGCGCTGTGATGGCGCTGTTTGTGGTCCTTTGTGCTGCTGTTTTTGGCGCTTCGGGCATGTTGCGTGGTGCTGAGGGAGGTGATGTTTCCTTCGCCGCCGTGTCGGCGCTGTTTGTGGTCCTTTGTGCCGCTATTGGTAGCGCTACGAGCGTGTCAGGCAGGGTGGCTGGTAGCTGCTCAATGCCGCTTATTTGGAAGTCCTAGATGGAAAATTAAGAAATACCATTTTGTAATACTATATGGATAGTTTATTGATACATAATCATAATGATGAGAAAAAGCTAAATCTAATTATACTTTATTTTTTACAAAGGAGTCCAGTATTATAAATGC